CCACGACTGGAAACCGTTGCACGTCTTCAGTGTTTGCGTTTTTGCAAGCTTCAGCAGCACAGAGCTGTATCATGTGTGAACCTGGGCCGTGCCAGATTCCTCGAAATTCGGCTGTGCTGCACCCGAAATCGTGAGCATAGTATCCATGATGCCGAGTCGAGATGTCTCGGGTATGCCAGCTGCGGGCTAGTACCTTGCAGGGTTGTTTGCTACAGCTACCAACCAACTACCCGAAGAAATGAGACCGCGGTGTGAGTGCTGGCACAAGTGTACTTTTGCTTCTGAGGTCATGTTTGGTGCAAGTGGTTTTGCCGCAAAGATACCACCTCCGCCGCCACCGCCACCACCTCCTGAAATGCGGATGCACTGGGAAGCGATGCCGCAGCAGGATGATTCCGGGTGCTGGTCGTGCTGGTTGAGAGGTTTTTCGTGCTGCAGAGTTGGGCAAATGTAGGCCTGAGAGGGTGTCCTTCACATGGAGGACCCAAAGCTCCAAATGCGGCACATGGCGAAGGTACTTCGCCTCAAATCCAGTTTGGTCAGGTGATTGTGTAGGCTGCTGTGTCGTGCAGGCAGACGCGATGCGGCCTATGTCTAGCCAGCAAATCCCACAATATGGCTGGTCACAGCAAGCACAGCGACTTGGCAGCCTTCGATATAAAGTGACAGAGCATGCTTTGCCAGGGTTGCAGCGCCTGTCTTGGTTGAGTACCTAAGGGCTGCTCAGCACAAGATGCCGAATACGCCTGTTCCACCGCCTCCTAAGGCGTGCAGCATGCGACGGGGTAAGTTGTGAGTATGACCATCTTGTCGCATGCGACATATCGGTGAGAGACTGTGGCTTGAGCAGTGAATCGGCTGCAGACCACATGTCTCTGCCAGGTTGTCAAGAAGGAGACTGGTTCTGCCTTCTGCAATGTAGACTCAGGACACTGTTGGCAGCGTTCATAAATCTAAGTTGGCAGGAGCCTGCAAAGCCAGAAACCAAGAGGAGCGACCCTAAGATCAAGAGGGAGCAAGTTGTCGCCTGGCTTTGAAGACTCCCCTAGGTTTCTTTTTCATTGGTGTGCATACAAATCGCTCCTGTCAACTTGTCAGCACAGTTTTGCCGATGGTTTCTGCAAGCCCCGGTTGCCAAGGCTTCATCCTCATCAGCGAAGGCTCGATGCTGTGCATGTTGAGTTTCGCATTGCCATGCAGCTCGAGAAGCCGTGAATGCCCAGGTTCGCCCCAGTGCTCTGGCACCAGGCGAGTGCTGGTTGCAGGCTGCTCGGCGACTTTCAATAGGTGTCGTGTGGTTGTTAGTTTCGGTAGCAACATGCAACCTGTATTATCTGCGGTGTGCCCGCAAGGCAGCATGCAAAAGAGTGGTAGGGACACGGGCTGGCTTGTTGAACAAGAGCGTGCCGAAACAACAGATGTCTCAAGCTCAGGTTATGGTGACAAATCATCTTGCGCCCGAAGTTTGGAAGACGGAGTCGGGGCCTTACATGTACCGTTCTGGTCGACACATTCGACGGGAGCTGGAAGTCACGGTCGCTCAAAGCCGCGGCTTTGAAGCAGTTACAGAGAGCCTTGTGGTAGTTGACGGAAACACAGCACTGGCGATTGGGGCTCTGATTCTCTCATGGATGGTGGTTTTGTGGCGCCCCTTCTCATGTTGGCCGCTTAATCGATGTTGTTGTTGTTCTGGTGTCGCTTTGTGCAGTCTCCATAATCGCTTCCCCTTTTATTAAGCACCCCCTAATCATAAAATCACATTGGGGCGAATCCTTCCCAAACATCCCTGCCCTTTAAAGCCTATTCTGAATTAGGGGGAGGTTTTCGAGGCTCCAAATACCCTTAGAGCACAGTAAGAGCAAGAGAAAAAGCAAAAGCAACAGCATAAGTTAGAGCAAGAGCAGCAGCAAGAGCAAAAGCGCGAGCATCAGCAAGAGCAGCAGCAAGAGCAAAGCAGAAGCAAGACCGGGAGCAAGAGCAAGAGCAAAAGCGAGAGCAACAGCAAGAGCAGGAGCAGGCGCAAGAGACGCAGCAGAAGGAGCAAAAGCCAGAGCGGGAGCAAGAGCCAGAGCAGGAGCAAGAGCACGACCCCTCAAAAGTGGCAGTAGAGATAAACATACCCACTAATAATAACAACACTTTTCGAGTTTTTAATTGGGGGGGGAGGCCCTGCCCGTTTGGTATTAGGGTTATGATGGCAGGGACTTCATGATGCCGGAGCATTCCAGGCTGAGCTGTAAAGGGTCTGCTTCTTCTTTCCTGAACTTCGTAGTGCTAGCTCGAACTAAAAACGAAGTGCTCTCGGATGCATGAATGATGCTGGGTACCATGGACGGAATCTCTTCGTCCTGCAAGGAAGGTTCTGCAGGGTTGGCAACGACAGCGAGCTCTCTAATCCTAAGTTCCTAAACGATAAGCCGATGCGGAAGCCCAGGTGTCTGCTCAAAGAAGGGAAACGGGGTGGCTGATGCATCGCACTTTCACCCTAATAGCTACTAGCACTAACTGCATCGAATGATGCAGTTCGTAGACAAAACATACCATCTTCGTTCATGTTTGATCCTCGAGTCTGTATGTTGTTTTTCGGCCAGCGGGCATCCCTTCCTTTCAGTACTTGGTCGACTGCGCTTTGTGCTCGCCTTGCCTTGGAAGGACGCGGTTCGTGTTTGCCCTTGTGACGCACGGAGATCAGAGCAATCTCTGCACCCCATCCGGGTGGCCTGAAACATCTGTCTCCGCCTTGTTACTGTCTACTCCGGCCTCTGTCTCGGTCTCTAGCCTATTGGTTTAGGTTTGTCTGTGCCTGGCCATTCCTGCTGTAGGACTTGGCTTGGTTTTCTTCCTTTGTCGGCCGTGCCTATCTCACTCTCTCCCCCTCGGCCTCTCGCTATCTTCCTGTGGCTCCCCCCTTTTTCACTTCTGTCCGTCTTTGCTGAAACTGGGCTTGGGAGTGCTCCTTGTACCGTGGGCTTGTATGGGCCTGTCACAGCCAGTCGTCGATCATGACCGTCGCCGCTGTTCTGTCAACTCACCCTAGATGTGGATTTATGAGTCTGGGAATCGCCGGGTTGCAGTGGACAGAGTAGGCTGGTTGCAGTGTTCGCTGTTCGTTCTTCCTCCATGTCCAGTTTTTGTTAATCGAATCAGTTTGCAGTAAAGCTTCTTCATGGGCAAGGCCGTATGCCGATATTAAAGACGTCTTTTGAGGAGTGGAGCTCGACAGAGAGTTTGTTAAGCGACGCCCTCGACAACAGAACTTGTACTCTACCACGCAAACATTCCTTGCAAAGCCGAACAGCTGAAGAGAAATGTGTCCACCAGCATTCGGCAGAGAGTGCCTTGCAAGATCCTGCAGCACACAGGAAGTCTGCTGTTGCGAAGCACCCTGCCCAGGCCGCTGAAAAGGCTGAACGACCTGAACGAGTTCTTTCAGAAGCTCCTGGGACGCAGACAGCGCAGACAGCTACAGCTCGTTTCATGCTAGCAGCTGCGTCAGATGTTTGCGTGCGTAAATTGCGTGTATGTACTTTTCATGCACGTAGGCAATATATATGATCCCGGCTCGGCCGGCCCCCCCC